CTGTCCTCTGGGCTCCTTTCTCTTTCTGCATGCAACCTTTCTACTGCAACTCCTTGGCTCCTTTTTACCTGTACTGCTATCTTTCAGCCACTCCCCTGATCTTATGGTAGGTGAGATTTAACACCTAGCCATCTCGGGTGGTTGGCGGGTGCTCCGGTGTGGTTTACTCCTTCTTTCCTATCAAACGCCTATCTTCCTTATCTCCCCTCATATTTTGTGTTTGTTACTCTCTTGTAACACCTATAATCTTTGGCACTTAGGTGACCTTGTTGTGTTGCAAGTGCCGTAAAACTCCTACTAAAACTAAACCATCTCGGATAAGGGCGAAAAACCACGGTGGGCTCTGTGCAAGTTGTGCACCGAATTGATCCCTTGGTGATCCTAAAATTGACAAGAGTATGCCTCGGCCGCCACCCGGGCAGAATTCAAAATTCCTACTTAATCTGCCCTGCGCGCTCATATATTTTAATATGACATATGCAGTTGCGAGTGCCGTAAAACACCAATACAAAGAGCTTGCTGTTGAGCAGGAATTTGCGCTTTATGAATTAATGCTATCTATGCTATTATAGTCTACGTATTAATAGTTTTAAAAACTTTCACACAAATCTGTTTCAGTTTGCTGTACACTGGTTGGTGCGCACTGCACAGAGCACCACCACTAGATCAATGTGGTTCTGGACTGAGGCAAAGATAGTCTTGTACTATCTTTGACTGAGGCAAGGCAAAGATCCCATTTGGGCAAGTTGTTCATCACAATAATAATAATATTAAACTCTGGCCAAGGGTAGTTGGAGGGTTCCACAGGTAGGCCTCACTGCTTTTGTTTCTGTTTGCTGTTTTTGGGTCTTACCTTTTCCCAGCACTAAATGATCACTATCGTGTAGATGCGTTCCAGTTCACTCAATCCATTTATTAAAACAAACAACGTTAAAATTTGACATCCAACAAAATACTCCTCGTGAGCATATGCGATCGATCATACTATGGATTCAAATTGAAATAAACAGCAATTAAAAA